AAAGAGCTTAGTACAATTTAAAGGATTAGATATGGATATTAATAGTAAGAATCTCATCAACAGCTACAATAGCTAAGATAATTATTTATAGGGGATATCAGCACCCATGTTTCTGCACATAAGTCAATTACTAGCTGCTTATGTTAAGAAAAAAAACCTTCCTCACTAACAGATTATTCCATAATTAGCCATTATATCAATTACTGAACATTCATTGAGGCATCTGATACTGGCCACTTTCTGAAAGAATAATGGACAAAAGACCATTGGTCCAACCAGATAAGGCTATTCCAAAGTTTTTACAAAAGATGACAAAAATAATAGGTACTAAAATGATTTAAACCCTTTTGTGAATGATCTTACTGAAAGTACTCTTTGGGCCCATCTACATGAGATGCTTTATTCAAGATTAGAGCATCACTGTCTACACATGCAGATGCCTACTGTGCGGTAATTTGCTCAAATCTTGAGAATTGGCTACCTGTAAATACAAGTAACAAATTCATTTGGGAGTAATTAATGTGCAGTACAGCACATGTACATGGCCAACTAAGAGGAAATTGGCCTTGGTCAGCCGGGTAGCAGAGGGCTGGGAGCAGGCGCTGGGAATTCCCTGCTGTGGTGGCATGGGGACATTATCCTCACCTGGATTCCAGTGGCAGAGCCCACCTCCTCAGCAGGCAGCTCCCACAGGAAGGGAGCAATCTCCCAGCCTCCACTGGGAGACAGCTGTCTCCTGGCCTTGTGCTTCCTGCCAGGCCCTGGGCTAGTACCCAGGGGGAGCCTAGAGCTTCCCCTGGCTGCTGTAGAGGGCCAGTACAAGGCTGGCAGGGGCAGGAGCAGACTGCTGCCATCAGCAGCAAATCTGCTCCCACTTCCCTGCACATGTAGACACCTACCTGGGCTGGGTTTACCCACCCAAGAGCATTTGCACATGTAGATGCAGCCTTTAATATATATTAGAAAAGAGAAAGAATTAAGATTAAAGCTCTTGACTGGGTATTTCAACTCTTCACAGAATGTACTCAAGAGATGAAATCTTTGAAGGTTCTGTTCAAATGAAGTCCATCCAAATGACTAATATGCAGTATGAGAGAGGTAGTTAGCTGTTTTAGGCCCCGGCACACATTATAAGTATGGTGTAATTAATGTGTTAATGGCACCATAAATACTAACAGAGCTACATGTACAGATGTTTTATGGTGCCATAAAGTGGCAAACCAGCCACAAAGGTACTTCACAAAATATGTGGAACTTCTTTGTGGCACATTTGTATGGCACCATAAATTGAATGTGTAGTAACCCCATGTGTCTGGAGTCAGGCAGAAGACAGGATAAATTTGTACCTTATAGATTAAATCAGAGATGCATATGCTTTTATAAGCAGTGGCTTACTTCATCAGCACAGTTCCTTCACAGCATCTGATGAAGCCAGCTGCTGTTTATCAAAGTTTATACACCTCTGATTTAGTTTATGAGGTGTACACCTATCCTCTCTTTTACCTAAGATGCGGTAAAGCATCTTAGCAGGTATTTTCTAAAGCTTAGTTTGAAATGTCTTCATCAGCATTTTTATATTTTTTAAGAGAAGGTTTTTAAGATCTGGCTAAACAGAGCCTGGGCTAGGAGGATATAATTGGGGACTGTCCTGCTTTGAGTAGGGGTTGGACTAGATGGCCTCCTCAGGTCCCTTCTAACCCTAATTTTCTAGGATTTTATGATTTTCTCAGAAGCAGTTTGCAAGAATTCCCAGGTCTGGAGCTTAAACACATTCATGTCTGAAATAACCAGTTTCTCCCTGTTTGAATCTCATTATGAAGCTGCCAGCCAAAAGGCAGAAGGTCTGATATTCTAGATGATCAGATGGGTTCATGCATACCAGAACTGACACTAATGAGCAATATAAACTCTGATTTTCAAAGTCTGACAGATGTCATTTGAATGGGAAGATAGGGTAATTTAAAACAAATCCATTTTCCCTTCCTACACCTCCTACTTCAAAAAAAATCTTTGTCAATGTAGTTTTGTTTTGTAGGCACATCACATAAAAGCACCACATAATTTAAAGTTTAAATAACAAAAAGTTTCTGAAGGTCAAGGAACAAAAGAAGTTAAGGTCCCACAGACCCAGCTCTCCTAGTATTTACATATTAGTAAAAAAGGGGGCAGAAGATTTATGGGTGTCATACCAAATGTAGAAACTTCACATAATGAGGCGCAGGAAATGCAATAGATTGTACTCAGGTACTATTAGCTCTTGTCTCTTTTCCAAGCAGGAAAAGAAAAGCTTAATTTTGTCAGTTAATGTGGTACTCTGGCACATGCAGCTAATGGGTGGGCAGAGTAAAGATGCAATTCTGGCCTATCTCAGAGCCATTGTGAGTGGATAAATCAAGCAGATACAGTCCCATTTCTACCAGTACATAATTGTCTGGCATAGGCTGAATTTTCAAAGTCAAAATGAAGTAATGTATGATGCAAGGTATTGTCAAGAAAGTTATTTGGAAGGTAAGAAGTAATTTCTTGATGATTGCATGAGGACATCTGTGGGAAGCTCAGGTTTCTAGCCTGTGTAGATGGCATTGGTTAGTCAAGGCCAAGAGATGTTTGTCAAGAACATAACTATGCTAAAATACTCTGAAAAAGAGTATGAATGTGTTCTTGGGGAAGTTGATTAAGGCAGAGTGTGTATCATACTTGGACAATGTAGCTGCAATGATAAGTTGTGTGCGTGTATCTTTACTTGCTGAGGAATCACAATGTCAGCTGGGTGTGGAGGAAAACAAATCACAATTTTAACTGGGTCTAGAGGCATGGCTGGTATAAGAGCTAGTGAAATGGCTGAATCAGGACTGAGTCAGGGGATGTTTGTTTCCCTTTCAAAACTGTAATATATATGATATGAGGCTAAATAATAATACAGTTGGTTTCCACTAACTGATAGAATAACATGATGATCTACAGAACTGACTTCCAGACTCTGAGCTAAGATAAAATGCCTTCTTATTTTCCATTTGAATCAGTTAGCTCAGCTAAAACATATCCTGTCTTCAACAGACCAAGTAAAATGTCTTCCACTGCCATATTTAATCTCAAAGGCTATGTCCAGCCAGTTAGGGAAACAGGAAAAATTCCATGCATCAACTTCACAACAACCATAGTTCAAATATCAGCACATTAGCAAATTCGCTTCTGACGGGCACATGTCCAGATCCATGTGGGGGCACACTGATTGCATGTGTAGATACTCCCAGAGGCTTCAAAATATCCGTGTATATTTTAATAAAACAACATATTTCTCACAGGTACTTGATTCTGACTGGTAGAGGGTTTAACCCAAGGAGTAGTAGGAGGGCACTGTGCTACATGAGCAAGCCAAAGATCACAGGCTGTAAAGGTCCACCCTGACTTAGAGAGTAGCAGGAAATGAGAACTCTACCTCACACTCCAGTAGGAGAATTAGGCAAATTCAATCAGTCAAAAGTTGAGGATACCTTTGTCCTTGACGTGTATTTCCTATGGAGGGAAGAATCTATGAGCGCTCATACATTTGTGAATCCATTCGCTCCTTGCTTTACTTTACCTAACAGAGTATGCTGCTCTCTTTGTTGCTGAGTGTACTGAAATATACACAGAGTCTAGCCAGGATTTGGCCATTAACTTACAATACCATTCTAAGCTAAGAAATATTCCTTTTGATTTTGTAATGGGTATTTTCTTCTCTTTAATATTTTGTTTAGCACATAAATTGAAGGAACACTTTAAAATGATCTGGGCATAAGATACTGAAGAAATATAAAAGAATATCACATATGAAACCCTGAAAAAATAAAATGTTTTTATTCCAAAGGTAAAAATATGTGCAGGATATTTACTGTGCAGACCCAGGGTTCTTGTGAAGTTGTTTTTTGGAATAGCAAATTAGAAAAACATGCCCAGAATTAAAGGTTACTTAATCAGGTTGATGCAGTAACTCCAGTTTGAACTCCCTCCCACTATGTTACATCTGATAATGTACCCAAGTCCAAACAAAAAATTTAGTTCAAAAAGATGTTTGGTCCTTAAATGTAAAATGACACTCAGCTTGCACAGCTAGCCAGGTAATACATATCCTTCCAAAAGAAGCAAGTTTTACCACAGAATAATCTGCATTCAGTTCTACAATCTCTGATGGGAAAGTTTTTTCTAACTGAAACTTTTCCACATGATTATTGCATGCTACTATTCTGCATTTAATTACAATAGAAAGGTATTAATAAGGGCACTGAAGTACTGGCCTGAGTCACATTCTGCTATCTGAGCAAAGTGATGGAAATAAAGCATATGAACAGAAAATTCTGATGATTTCAGACTGTCATGCCAGAGAGAAAAACAATGGGGCAAGAAATATAAATAGACAAAAGGAAATGAAGCACCCAATTATTTTTGCGTTATTGATAGACTCCTAGCATAACTTGTTCATACAGTAGAACTGAGTGAGTTAAATGGTAGCTTGGTAGCCTGCAGGATAGTCAAATTGATAGAAAAATCTCCTCAGATTATTTGGATCATTTTTTACCAAGCTATCAAGGCAAACATTCAAAAATGCACTGTGCAGTTAATACTTTCAAAGCTGAAAAATCACATTGGACAACATTGAAGCAAGAGTAGACAGCTTGGAATACAGGGGCTGTGAGGAAGTGAATGTGGCTGGGAAAGCATATGTTGCTGCCTGGATGAGGAAGTGGCATGCCACAGTTACTTCATAAGTGCAAGGTCTTTATAAGCTAATTCTCTGAGGGGATTGTTTTAAATAGACAGAGAATGACACACAGTCCCCGACAGGAATGCCTTATTGTTTTAGGAGGATTGATGCCTTCTAAAAACATTAGTCTCTGCCTGTACTTTTTCCAAAATTGCCTATTTTTAACCGTAGTCTCTTCATCTAAACAGTGGGAAGATCCACTGCATCGTAAACTCTGCCTTGTCTTGTGTGAAATGGATGGCTTACTGTATCTTACCTGGCAGTGGAAAATATATTCTGGTGTGGTCTTCTTAAACTTCATGTTCCAGACCAAGGCCACCCCATCAGGCTCATGTGGAGCATCTTCATTATTATTGTAAGAAGCAACCATCAACTCTGGGTACTAGAAAGAAGAAACCATGCAGGAGGCTTAGATTCTGTTTTTAGAATGAAGAAGATATGTGAAATCATATGAGACAGAAGCAATAATTTTTCACACTACATGTGGTATTGCGTATCTGGTTTTAATAACAACACTCACCACTTCAGTCATACTATTTGGCTACATTTTGGTGTTATATTTTATTACTAAAATCCTTAAAGACCTCTTTGTCTTGGCTCCATAATAGGGTATTCTCAGATGCCACAATGAACTATGTAGTTTATATTTATTCTAGATAATTATTGAGACAGAATAACTAAAAAAAAGTTTAGATATTCAAATTCAAAACAGTCTCTTTTAATTCTAGCATGGAAAAATGACAACCTGTAGAAATTTAACTTGAAGGTAAATCATTTCCTTCCTCACACCACACAACCATTGCTGTCACTGATTTTGATATTATCATCATCATAAAATAATCAGAGTGGATCATTTTTATCCTGAATTTCAAATCTTCCACATGCTAGAAATTTTTCTTTCCTATTTCAGAACGATACCTGCTGCAAACCTATACTATAGTGTAATAATAAAGGAAAACTTTCTTCACATAGGACCCAATTTTACATGATGCTAAGGTCATCTTGTAAACTACAGAGTGCCATCAAGTTCCATTGATTCAACAGGATTTGAAAGTGCCCATCACTCTGCAAAATCAGATCCATATTTTCTAATATAAACAGGCTCAAACGGGCTATATATGATGACTTAAAATTTTAGATTATTTTGATTACATGATATTGTTTTAAAATATCATATGTAAAACTAATTTATGCAGAGTATAATGTAATACAATTCCACTGACTTCAGTGTAGTTATACCAGGAATGTAGACAACCCAAACCAACCTAATCTTACTTTGCAACTAGGATATAGGTGAATAAGTACACAACTACGCAAATATATTTATATTTCAGATTGTTCTGGGTGCTTTGTTTCATGTCTCTACGTTCCAAATTGTTTTGGGCATGTTTTATATTATTTGGAAACCATGCATTAAGTAGCAAGAGCAAATTATGAAGTGACCAAACTGCCCCACCCTCCTCATCGAACCAGATAGGTCCAATTTCCAACTCCTCAAAAAATCCCTAACCCTGAAGCCAACTGCTCAAAATAAAAAAGGTAGGATTTATGATATGTGCAGGTAAGCATACTCCACAAGACCAATGAGATTCAGAGAGCAGAGGCCTCATAGAGAATGCTGACAACATTTAACTGAAATGCTTGACATTTAACTGAAAAATATTTTAGCTCAAGGTTTTCTTTTGATCTCTGCAACAAAAGTACCAAACCAGGCTCTGTCTCTCTCAGGTAGCTTACTCCCAAACCACTTACCACTGTAGTGGTGGGAGAAATAGCTTTTCAGAACAGCTTTAGTTTTTCTAAAGATAATAGGCCAAATGAATTCTAAGAGTCACTAAAGGCAGCTGATGGAAGTCCTTCTTTTTGTACATTTTACATCTGGTTATGTTTGTATTCCAACTTTATCATTCCTAAGTTGAACAGAAGCCAGATTCTGGATCCATTTCCCCATGTGTGAGGGAATCCTTGGGTGTCATAGGTGGCTATAGCTACTGTTACCCCATTTCTTCTCTCAACCCTAGTGCATGGGGTGTCCAGGGGTCAAGTTGACAGCTGGTTTGTCCCTACATCCTGGCTATTCTACCTACTAAAATATCCTTTAAGGACCATTGGCATCCAGCACAAAATATTGTAGCCTGAAGACTGATCTGCTTTATATCATCAACGCTTCCAGATTGGGAGAAATATAAAAGTACCTTAACTATGTACCTTAAATTCCCGTTTACTTATACAGTTACCAATATGGGGCTAGGTCATTCTCCCTCGAACTCAACTGGAGTTTTCCTACAGATTTCATAGTAGCATATTTGGATGCAAACTAATTCAGGCTTGAATAGCACTGGTTTGCATGTATATCCGCATTAACTTTAGGCATTTAGTATAGGCACTAACTTGAGATGAAATATTCAACCACTGGTATCACATTAAGTTGCTCAACCACTGTTATGAAAAATTTTGACTTGATGGTAAACTTACCTTGTTTAGTAGTTGTGCAAAGTTACGCTCTTACTGCATGAATTGTGCCATTTCTTCACTCACTCTGTCTATATATGTTTGCAGGGTTTGGGGAAGTCTGTAACAGTTGGCTAACAATCTTGTAACTGCTATTGGAAGTAGTACAGAAATATTGTAATGTGAAGCACCACACTTTCATCTTGGCTAGATGCATTTGACCTGGAGCTGAGGTGATGTCACATGGGTGTCAAGAAGGAAGAGGAACCATTTCTCGGAATTCTGCATCTTTTACCTTGGTTTTGACTTTATACTAGCTGAGACAACCTTGTTTTGAATAAGGTGATTCCCCTCCTTTAAGTTTAAATTGAAGCTTTTGAGCATTGTCTAAACAAAAACTTGAGTAAGGATTTTTACCAACCTTTCTGCAAAAGAATCAAAGGTTTACTGAGTTAGCTTTAATTATATGAATGATCCCACACACGCTGGACCTAATTTTAGATGTAACTAGGGTAATTTATTTAATCAAGGCATCTAGTTCCTTTCTCAACTTTTTCTTTGATTAAGCTTCTATTTTCCTCAAGGAGATTTAGAAGAAATAGCTTTATCCCAGAAAAAAAGGAGCAGCATATTCTGCGGCTCAGCATACTGAGCAATATGTTCTGCTGCTCAATATTTATTTGTTTGTGTATTTGTTTATCTATTTATTTATTATACTGAGTAATGTATTCAAATTGCTCAAATACCCTTTGGTACACTGGACACTATATAATTATGGGATGGGTCTGAGTGTGTGGAGGCTCTCTCCTAGGTGAGACATCAGTCCTGCTCCTGTTGCCCATTATGTACACAAGAAAAAGATGACAAAAGGAGCCATAGTGCCCCCTTCCAATCTAATGTGGGATTGCACTGAGAGTAGCTCAGGCTTCTTGTGCCAAAGACAGAAAGGCTGAGGAGTTAATGGGAGAGGAAGGTGAGGCGGGGCCACCCTGGAACAAAGAGGTGGGAAGTAGAACATGCTTGTGTGCCTGAGGGGCTGAACAATCACATTTGGCAGTTCTCTTCTAAGTCGGCTTTATCTTGCTGTCCTGGGAATACAGTAAAAGCTGCCTGCTTGGAAAATATCAGATAAGGATTCCATGTAATTTCCAGCCCCTGAACAAGTGAACAACCTAAGATAAGCATTTCCTCAGGCTGACATTTGATTTCTGTGGAAATCCATATGTGCTTAAAGGCCACCCACATCATGCCAGTACATACCTGTTGTAAAATTGATATTATGTATGAGAGTACAGGGAAGAATTTTTAATTTGATAAATAAGGAATGTAGTATAATAGCAGAAACATTCCCTGCACATGCAGATGAGATTACATCTCACAATTCAGTAAGCACCTCAGACCATGTATCCAAGTCTATAGCCTATGTGGCACATTACACTTCCATTATTTAGGCTGCCTGATGTTAAACAGCATTATTCCCCTTTCTGTCTAACTGCCCCCTAATTCACAGTTTCCTCTCACCCAGCCAACTGCCATTTTAAGTACAAAAAGTCCTGCAAGCATGGAGAAGCCAAAGATGGTCTTACTGTGAGGTTAGGAGGATAGAGAGAAAATTGTTGCTGGTTAGAATTACTGGAGCACACGTCCACTGCCTTATCCTGATCAACATACATGGTCCATCTACTTCCACCTTTAGAGACAGAACCAAATCCTGCTCCATCTTTAAACACCTAACAACTACTCAGCTGTCTAGTTAGGGTGACCATAATTCTTTTAGGAAAATCCAGGAGGGGAGAAAGGGAAATCTAGAACATACACACACACACGTGTACTGGGGCACTGTGTGGCAGCAGGCTGGGCTGGAGCAGGTGTCAGGAGTGTAGTGCCTCTGTCACCAAAGCCAGGGCTGCAGGTTGGAGCCAGGACACACTGGGAAGCATGGTGCCTTTTTCACAGGGGCTACAGGCTGGTGCCGGGGGTGGGGGCAGGCCACCAGCCTGGCCAGGTACACTTTGCGAGCTCTGTCTGACTCCCAGGTCTGGCTCTGTCCTGGCACCTGCAGCCACATCCAGGCCATGCAGCCCCAGCCTCACATCCCTTCCCCAGTTAGGGAAGGGTGCGGTAGGGCCAGGCTGGGCTTTTCCTGTGGGAGCTGCAATGCAACTGGCCTGCCCCAGGCCAGGCCCGCCTGGCGGGGCATGGCCAGGATATGGCTATAGGTGCTGGGATGGGGCCAGAGCCATGAGTCAAAGTGGGGCAGACAGAGCCTGTGCAGCATCCCCAAGTTCAACCGGCACCTTGCCCCTAGCCCCAGCCATAGCCTTAGTCCATAGCCCTGGCTCCAGTGACAAAGGCACTGTGCTCCCTAGCAGAGGTGCTGAGTACATGGAGGCCCAAGGGCCCTGGATCCCCTTGGGAAGAGGGCTGGCAACTGAAATGTGTAAAACTTTTCACATGTCCATCATTTTAGAACAACCCCCCC